AGGATGCTGCTGCCAGCAGCGCCGTGAGGATGCTGCTTCTGCTAGCGCCTTCCTCATCTCGAGCACCTTCACCTCAAAGAGATGGAGGCTGCAGCGCCTGAGCCCAGCTGCGGGATGCGGGGTGGTGGCGTAGGGGTGGCTGAGGGGCTCACAGCCCCAGGGAGTAGACAGCAGCAGGCTCCCCCAGCCCAGGTTTCTCTGCCCTCAGGACCCTGTTCTCCAAGTCCTGCTGTCGGCAGACTTAGAAGGATTCCAGCATTTCCCCAGCCGGGAGGAGGCAGGTGAGGCACTGGGCTGTCTGGGTGCTCACCCGGGGCTGGGGTCCCGCAGAGTGCTGCTGAGCGCGGCTCTGGAAGATGATACTGGGAATCTGACCTTTGTCAAGCCCCAAAGCTGCGGTGTGGGGGGGTGCAGGGGCCTGGCTCCCAGGAAGGTGAGCAGGAGCCCCTCTGGAGAGCAGGGTCACACCAGCCTTGGGGAGCTGTTGTGGTTTCACCCGGCGGGCAGCTAAATGCCTGACCTGGTTTTGGCTGGGAAAAAGTTGATTTTTTCCCTCGTAGCTGGTACAGTGCTGTATTTGGAATTTAGCCTGACAATACCGTCGATAACATGATGATATTTCAGTTGTTGCTCAGCAGCGCTTGCACCAAGTGAAAGATTTTTCAGTTTCCCCTGCTCTGCCAGCGAGGAGGGGCACAAGAAGCTGGGAGGGAGCATGGCTGGGACAGCTGACCCGAACTGCCCAAACGGATATTCCACACCACGGAATGTCACGCCCAGTATATAAACTGGGGGAGTTGGGTGGAGGGGGCGGATGGCTGCTCAGGCATCGGTGTGCGGGTGGTGAGCAACTGCACGGTGCATCGCTTGTCTTGAGTTTTATTTCTCTTTTTGCTATACTGATTTTCATTGCTATTATGATAATATTTTATTTTATTAGAGTTATGAAACAGTTCTTATCTCAGTCTGAGTTTTACTTTCTTTTTCGATTCTCCTCCCCATCCCACCACGGGGAGGAGTGAGGCAGCAGCTGCCTGGGGCTTAGTTTGCAGCTGGGGTTAAACCACAACAACACCCCAGAGCTGCTGTGGGATGGGGAGAGAGTAGGAAACAAGGCAAAACTCGTGGGTTGAGGTAAAGACAGCTGAGTAGGACAGAAAAGGGAGGGGAAATGGTAATAACGATAAAAGAATGCACAAACAAGGGATGCACAATGCAGTTGCTCACCGCCCGCTGCCCAGCCAGTCCCCGAGCAGCGATCCGCCACCCCTGGCCAACCCCCCCAGGGTCA